CTGCTCATAAAGGAAGAGCAAATTATTCTATTTATAGTTGTTTCTCCCATTCATATTTTTAGCACGTGACATTGTGTTCCTGTTTCTTCGGTCGGAGAGAATTTTCATATTTTCATATTCTAAAACGAAAGAAAATGAAAGATTAAGGGAGACCGTGGAAAAAATCGAGATGAAATGGAAGAGATGCAAAAGATTAAAAAAATAATAGTAGTGTTGGAAAATTGTGATTGAAATTTACGAATGGGATAGATAGAATGCGATAAATCGTGTAAAAAAGATTAAAAACAATTACGCAAAAGAAAACATGTGAGGAAAAATAAGGGAGAAAAGATAATAAATACCAGAAGAAAATATTAAAGGAAGGGAAAGAGGTCGAGAATAAAAGAGATTTCTAGAAAAAAGAGAGGATCAAGAAAAGGAAGAAGCGAGAGAGAGAAAGAGAAAGAAAGAAAAATAAAAAGGATTCGCAAAAAACAATAGCTCGAGAAGGAAAGGAAGAAAAAAATAAATTTAAAAAACGAAGGTGAGAAAAACATGAGGACGAAGTGAGAGAGAGAGAGAGAGAGAGAGAGAGAGAGAGAGAGAGAGAGAGAGAGAGAGAAGAGAGGAGAGAAGAGAGAGAGAGAGAGAAAATCGGAGCAAGAGACCGAAACAGAGACAGAGACAAAGAGCCACAGACAGACGCAGAGCGAGACCAAAGCGAAAGGGAGTAAGAGAGAGCAGATACGACCTCACACACTGCCTGAGGCCACAGCCATTGTCTTCGAGGGACCATGTTTTCGGACGACGCCGGTGCCTAGAGTAGGGGAGGGGAGGGGGAAGGGGGAAGGGAAGGGGTTGATGTTGGGAGGGGAAGGGAGAAGGGGTGAGGAGAGGGTAGGAAGGGTGTGAGGAAAGAGAGCGAGGGAGGGAGAGACAGGATAGGGAGTGAGGAAAGGAGGGAGGGTATGAGGAAAGAGGGAAGGGAGAGGAGGGGTAATGGGAGGAGTGGAAGCAAAGGTAAAAATGTAAGGGGTGGATGAGGAAAGAGAGGGATGGGGAGAGACGGTGAAGCGGTGGCGTGAGGGAAGACGGAAGGGGAATGTAGGGGTGAGTGGGAGGAGGGAGAGGGAAAGGATGTGGGGGATGGGGGGCGGGCTAGATGCATTTTTAATTATGTGGATAAAGGGAGACCCATTATAACGAGAGGATATTTAAGCAAGTGTGCACTGATGGCTTCGCGATAATGTTGTTGAGAATACCTTTACAAGTTGAGGCTAATAGGTTCGATGAAGAAGATAAAAACATAAGAAAAAATATATATGTGAACAGCATGGTGATGTGTAATGACGAATTAAATGAGTGAAAAAAATATCTCATAAATATATAAAGATTTATGAGCGGAAATGGCTGTAGGTTTCATCCAATATTCTGTACTGTGTACTTTTCACTTGTTAATTAAACAGTGCAAGTCTTGTGGGTACATTTGTTTCTCGGTATTTTCTTGTCTTAATTACTCGCAGTATGTGCACGTTTTTCCCCTCGCCTAATTACCCT